GTTTCCTTCAGGCAGTATTTCCAATTTCTCCACTAACATAAAAAAAAATTCTTAACTGGTGAAAACAAATTAAAAACATAACTGCATTCAAATAATTTTCACGACAAGGATATCAAGTACAGCACAGCAGACAACTGGCGGACCTTGCTCCTGCAACGTCATCTCTCTTGCCACAGCCCTATCTTGGTGTGCTGGTTTTGGCTGGGGTAGAGTTCATTTTCCTCATAGTAGCTGGTACGGGGATGTGTTTGGGATTTGTGCTGAAAAGTGTTGGTAACACAAGGATGTTTTTGCTACTGCTGAGCAGTGCTTACACTTTTCTGCTTCCCACCCCACCAGTGAGGAGGCTGAGAGTGCACAAGGAGTTGGGAGGGGACAGAGCCAGGAAAGCTGACCCCAGCTGACCCAAGGGATATCGCACACCATATGGAATCTACTCAGCATATAAAGCTGGAGGAAGAAGAAGGAAAGAGGAAATGTTTGGAGTGATGGTGTTTGTCTTCCCAAGTCACCATTACGCATGGAGTCTGGCTTTCCTGGAGGCGGCTGCCTGCCCATTGCATGTGGTGAATGAATTCTTTGGTTTGCTTTGCTTGCATGTGTGGATTCTGCTTTACCTGCTAAGCTGTCTTTGTCTCAACCCACAAGTTTTCTTTTTCTCGCTTTTACCCTTTTGATTCTCTCCCCGTCCCACTATGGGGGAGTGAGCCAGTGGCTGTGTGGGGCTTAATTGCCAGCTGGGGTTAAACCACAACACTTGGCCATTTTAAAATCATGCAGATGCTTTTTAGAACTGGCAAGTGCACTTAAGCACAGAGCAGTTACACATTAAATGGTAACTGTTAAAAATCAACCAATGATTTCTTTTAAACTTTGCTCCAAAACCTCAGTTTTTTACAAAGATAGTGGAGGCTATATCAGTGATTCACTAGCTTATCACTCCACCAGGAAATTCACTCATTGCCAAGTTAACAAAAGGAATGCAATTACATATTAACTATTAACTGAAGTCCAATTTCAGAGAACGCTATAAATTGCTTGGCAATCAGGTAAGGTTTTCTTACAGGTTGACAGAAAACCTAGCAGAAAGGGAACTTCACTGAGTTTTTTTATGATCTCACAAAGGTTTTCTGTTTGTTTCTTTCTTTCTTTCACAGGAAAAAAAATCACCTTTCTAATCTATGTATCAGACAGGAAGAGTTGGATTATGAATCTTAAATGTGAGATTTGTGGCTAAGTGCTCTTTAAGCCCACCCCTTTATCCTTTACACCAAACCTAAGACGCCAAAGTTCAGACATTTTTTTCTGATGAGAATTTGGTTTGATGAATATTATACAAATGACATATTGAGTATAAATATTCAGCGTTCTGGAAATTCAGGCCCTCACTGAGCTAAATGTTACCACCAGCATTTCTTGTAAGATGAAGCCTTCAACTCTACACAGTACTGCAATAGTTTTATATTGACATAGCAGTCATTAAGCCCAACTCTGCCTGCCAGCACAGAAATTTGATACGACCTGCCTGAAGTGCCTCTCACTCATTCACACAGTACACACACTGCATTCATTGTATAGATCACAGTATAGATAGATCCCACAGTCACATCCAGACTCTGTGAGCAAGGAGACGTTCAGTTCTCAGTTTTAGTTCAAATGCCCATCCCTCCTCCAGCAGGAGTGCAATGCCATGAACTGAAGGACTGCTGGAGTGCAACTCCTGCAGATGTATCAAGCCAATGACAGAGCTTGATATAAGGTGCTGGGAGACCGAACATTTAATCCAGTTCAGGTTCAGCCACAGCTTACACTTGTGCCATTTATGAATTACAAATCAAGTCTGGGTGCTCAAGGCAACGCAGGTACCCTCAATAAAGGTAACCTACTTGGAGTAGAGTAACCCAAACTAGATACTACAGTGAAGATAAATCTGTAGACACCGTAGAAAGCTAGCAATTGCAAATAAAATTAGACATCTGAACAGTGTATTGAAGGGGTATAAATATAAAGGACAAGGTTCAAAACCCCAGTGGCAAAATCCTGAACTCCTAACCATCTGACATTATTATACCAGATCCTAAGAAGTACAGATCTTAAGAACCTCTCCTCCCCTCTAGAGACATTTCTCCATTGATGTGATTCAGCTGTGCAGTCTTCTGAGTTCCAGCCAAGGCCCGGAGCCCGTGCAAGCAGCAGGCATTTGGTATGAACTGAAGCAACTCGTGAAGAATGAGCCCAGGTCGCAAGCAATGCAAGAATAATATGGAAGAAATCACTGTATCAGCAAGCCTGTCCCAAAGATAAGGATGTGTTGTCCTCACTTAACACTGCCAAATCCAGAACTGCTTTAAGCAGACACATATGACTTGAATCCCAAAGGTACTTGGTTCAGATGATCCCTGCCTTTTTCCTGTTATTGCAAACACCAGTGTAACTTGCACAAGGAATTAGGCCATGTAGGCAGCCTGTAGGATTTTTAGACAGTCACTCCTAAGAATACACCACTCTAAAGAATGCAAATTTCTACTTACTACAACCAGCCCTTCCCAAAATCGGTATTTTTGCCGCATATATTACTTCTACAAACGAGAACATCACACATCCCCAAACCAGTGGATCCTTATCCCACACGTGATTTTAAATCACGAGTTCTCACAATGCCTAACAATGTACAAGGGAATAATAAGCTTCAGTTTCTAAAGGAAGAGGTTATTATAAATCACTTTTTTCACAACTGTCACCTCCCTCACACTCACCTGCAGCCTCAGTGCACACACAGAATTCAGGTGAGTCAAGTGCAGTGCCTACGGAGAAAGGCAACCCCCCAGTCCATCACTTAATGTTCATTTTAAGACCCATTTTGTCATTCTGCACGTTTGTTGAAAAGTAAACGTTGTTTTAGATCTCAACCCCTCTGTGTAGAGGCCACCTGACAAATAAACTTCCCACTGTGGTTCTCACTCAGTTTTAGAAAGGTTTGTTGTGTATGTTCTTTATGTCCCAAATAACACAGCCCTCCATTGCTGAAAGCTGTGTCAGTCTACTCCACCCAGTCATTCCTTTAAAAGCTTTTCTCTGGAACCTGTCTTCCTCACTGTGGTTTAAAACACAGTTTACGGGATTCAATAAAATGAAACAACTTGCCGTACCTTCTGGCATTTATCTTTTACCTTCCAGTTTATTCCATAATATGCATTATTACATTCATTATCTCTGCATCCTCTGGGTTTCTGACTTAATCCACAAGCGCTGTACTGCTAGAGCGTTTCTCATTTCAAAAACCTGGTATGAAATCGTGATACCACGCAAATACTTTGTAAAGTGTGCATTTCTGATAACTTTACACGCAGCTCTGCATCACTGAGCATCTTCTCAGCAGAGCCCCAGCGGCGCCCTGAGCGCCAAGCTCGGCACACCAACACAGATCCGACGAGCTCCGCGCCCCCTCCAAACTTCACACACAGCCGCCTCCCCGCAGAGACTTCACGCCCTCCCCTCCCTCTGCCCGAACCGTTCCATACCCACACATTTCTCTCAGCGTCTCTCCGATCCCACCCTTCCCCTCCCCAGCCTGCTCCCACAGACTCTCTTCCCGCCCCATCCACCGACCCCAAACGCCTCCTCCTCGCGCAGCACAGGCCTCCCTCGGCTCGCTCCCTCCGGCACGGCCCCGCTCTCCGCGGGGCGGCCCCGGCCGGGCTCTGCTCCCACCTGCGCCCGCCGGGCCCCGCTCGCCCCTCGCCGCCGGCCCGGCCCGGCTCCCTCAGCTCCGGGGCTTCCGGGCGCCGCGGTCCCGTCCCGCAAAGGCTCCGGCTGCAGCCGAGCCCCGCCCGCTCCGTTCCCAGGGCCGCGGCGGCAGCGCGCCCCGCCCGGGCCGGGCCAGGCGGGAGCGGCGGGGCCGGACCGGGCTCCGGGCAGGGCATGGCTGGGCCCCGCGGGGCGGGGGGGCTGAGCCCTGGACTGGAGCCCCTGCCACCTCCCAGCGAGCGCCCCGCGGGCCGGGTCCCGCCGGCGGCATAAAGGGGCACTTGTGACACGGATTTGTAAGAGGGGCAAGGCTGGCTCGGATGCAGGTGCGGACCTGCCATAGAGAACGGCACTACGCTGGGCAAAGAAGCGAATTGGCCACCAAATTTTGAAGATCATATTTAGGCAAAACTTTATGCTTAAATTAGGAGTTGATTTCCCAATGGTTGGCAAAGGACAGCGTAGCACATCAAAACTGGGTGAAATCCAGGCCCCACAGAACTGGAACAGAAATCTCTCCCACCAATTACAATAGTAAACCATGGGAGACAAGCACACTACTAATAAAGGTAATTTTAATAGTAGGTATGTGTTTTATAAGACATTCATTAAAAGTATGCTTTAGGAGAATGCACTTTGTTAACACCAAACAGAAGGCTCTGGCAGCTCCAGAAGAGTTTGCTTCAAAGTGTGGAACGGCTTCTGAACTCAAAAATACGCCATGATCTTTCAGTGACCACACTTATTGTACCTGCTTGCAGATGTCAGCATCATTCTTGAAATTAAACTGTCAGATATTTCAGGTATCACAGGTTAGACTAAATACTTGAAAAAAGGAGCCAAGATCTTGTCAGTTTTATGAATTTAATTAATTTTCCATTCCTTCCCAAGGGAAAAGGCCTTGGTTTTCAGCAGCTTTAGGCTATCAGCCTAATCTGGGTTATATTTGCCTCCTATGCCTCTCTACAGAACTCTAGACATTTGCCATTGGTTTGAACAAAGTTCAGCATTTCTTTGCTCTTAGCTGTTACGCTTTTTTAATGAATAAACTTTAGTTAACTCCCCAAAATTTCAGTCCCATGGAGTATTTTTTTTTGCTTTGCAGTTCTCCCTATTGAACTCACATCTGATTACAATAGACTAAAACCAATACTCTGATACTATTTTAGCATCTTTTGTTCTGTCTCATGGAGAACTGCTTATCAGATGTTTATGCTGGCCTTATTTTATGTGATAATAACCAGGCACAGTGCTCAGCTCGCATCTATAACGATTTATTTGACCTCGTCCACTTTGGTTAATAACCAAATACTTTCTAAGTGTTCATTTGTCACACCAGTCAGTTCATCGCATTCCCTGTCAGAAATACAAATAAATCATGAAGGTGGGGTACAATATGCTCTCTTAAAATGATGCCTAAAACACTGACAAAACTAATGATATCTACTAATAACTAAAACCAGAGGTAAACTAATGAAAGGCATGACATATCAGCTAGACATGCAACATAACAGCCAAGTAGCATCTGACAATTTGACTTAAGGATATTTTTTTTCTTACATTAAGTAATTAATCTAATAATATGGAATATAATCCATGTTTAGGTTGTCAAACAGCTCTTCGGAGGTTCATATAGACCATTTTGATGTGGCAGCAGAGAGAGCAAAGGCACTCAAAACACTGAATAACATCAGGAGTTGGGGAGTGGAGTGTTTCCCAGCAGAGCTCTATAAAAAAGAGAGAAATTTGATAAACCCATTTCAAAATAGTTCTATTTATCACTATTATAAAAGCATAGAAAGTTTCAGAGAAATCTTTTCCTATTGGCCCCTTCTATTATGTAGGCACTTCTGATGTTAAAAAGATCATGTGTCACATCCATAGTGCCCGTAAATCAACAGGTGTTCAGTTTTCAAGTGATAGGCAGGGACAAACATGGAAAACACCTCTGTGGTCCCACTTTTCTTCATTTTTGTTGATACTATTCCCATTTATTATGTTGCACGTTTTCTCAAATGGTTATTCAGATACAGGAAATTTGATAGATTCCTCACAGTATAAACAACAGTTTCAGTTTTCTGTGATAGGTATAGGAAGAAACCAGTAGAACCTACAAAGAAGAAAAGTGCTTACCACTTGACTGCCTCCAGAGGAAGGTGACTGTTGAAAACAAACAAACAAATAAATCTACAAGTGTTCCCACACAATGGTTTTGAAAACAGTTTTTGTCTGCAAAAGTTTTGATTACCTTAACCCACAGCATGGGTTTAATTTGTTCAAGAGGAAAATTGCTTTGCATTGATAAAGCATATAGTTTTAGTTATGTACTCTGTCTCGTGGTACATCTGAAAATTTCAGCTAAAACTGATGGAAAGACAAAAGTCTATTTTTCTCTCATTCCATTATCATATTTGATACAGTTTTTCATCTCTATAATTGAAAGAGGACGTTAAAAAATTGATGAGTACTGAAAACAAAACAAAAAAAAGAAGTGCAAAACCACGTAACCTGCCAGTGAAAAGCTCAAGAATCTAGCTTGCTAAAAAAAAAAAAAATAAGTAAAGGATTAACTGAGCACAGCCTATAAAATCTACACAGAGAACAAGAATTTAAAAAACAGAGGACAGAAAAATGTAACAAGGCCCCTAACTGAAATCTGAAACAAGAGAGATTTAGATTTAAAATATAACTGACACTGAAATTGCTTTCCCAGGCTGAGGCCATATTTTCCACAGTGGTTTCTTTAAATATGCTCTAATATAAATGGAACTAATACAGAATGTTCTCTTAAGACCAAATCATCCTAAAATTGCTCTACCTACCACCCAGGTTTCTTTGTTTACTAAGAAAAGAAGATGAAAAAGCTGTGATGAAAGTATTCTTACCTGTTTTCCAGAATAAGTGCTTCCCGAGCCAGAGCCACCCTGTAAAATAATTATAAACCATTTAATTTTGTACTATGAGACTCCAAGTGAACAGTGTCCAAAGAGCACACAGCAGTCTTGAAAATGCCCTGGATAGCATTAGATTTGATATTGACTTTGATTTTACCATTTTTGTTGCACTTTCCTCCCCTATTTTAATTGAATGATCTCAAGTAAGCACAGCTATGTCCTCTTTATTCCATGAACAGTTTCAGAGGAATGTGTCAAAGCAATGTGCCATTGACTGAACTGCAGAGTTTGAAACTGAAACAGTTACCCTGATTTTAAATACATCATTCTTATCAGAATGATCCAAACATACTCCTATGAGTAAGTGAGAGAGTATATAAAAGCTTTGCTATGGGAGGAATAAATGCTGCCTCATCCTAAGGTTCAAGTTTGAACAAAATATTCCAATTTTTTTGGTAATTTTTTTCAGACATTTACCATTGTAACATAATTTTAAATTTCACCCTCATTACTGTTATCTATTTTAAAAACCAATATCCACATTTCTAACTTGGTTGCAGAATACTGAAAGAAGAATATCCTTACTGGCTTTCCTTGATGACTGCTTCCTGAGGAAGATGAACCCTGAAAAAAGATACCTGTTTTTGACTCTAAGTCTATTTGCACTTATATGTTCTCACTGTCTGGAATAAAGGACCACAGGAGAATGAACACTGTCTTGTGTCCAGTCCTCTAAAAATCCCAGGGAAAACCTTATTTGAAATACAAATATTTAACATCTTTTTGTTACAAGTATTCTTTCAAATGATGTATTGGAAATTTTGATACAATGTTCTCAAGAAGAAAGAACTGTTTTGTAGTTGTGATGTGCTTAATATATGGAATGGAAAAAATAGTAAGGTCTAATGAAACATTAATTAGCCTGGTATCAATCTGTGTTTACATTTGGGGGAAAAAAGGACACCACAACCAAAAAATGCAAATGTTAGAGTCCTTCACTCTACAGCCACTATTTGAAGAAAGCTCTAATAAGAAAGGTAACTCTGAAAAAAATGGATATAGAAAAATAAAACATCCAGCTTTCTGGGAAAGTGGCTTTGCTCATTTGAATGGCATTGCCAATAGGAAATGTTACAAGTATTGAATACTTAATGGACATCGAATACAGGACACGAAGTGTCTCACCTTTATGATTCATGTGTTAGAAAAGGTAACATTTATGCCCACATTTTAATTACAGGTACACCTTCTTTTCTATAAGAGATAAGCTAAAACACTGTGTGCGCTTATTGGTATCTCCTGCCATCGAAGGACAAGAGCAAGGTCCAAATTACATAGTAAAAACAGTAGTCTGAAATGGGAGAAGTTGAAAATATGCACAGTTAAATGGCAACTATTGCGTCCTTCAAAAAGAAAAAGTAAGTATTTTCTTCAAAGCAAGCCAGAAATACTTAAGACAAATGCATTTAAAATCAATGAAAAACTGAGCCCTGAGGACGAAGTGTATGATTATTATGAATTTAAACAGAAATAACTATTCAGAAGTTCGTTAAACAAACAAAAAAACAAATTAAAAATAAAATCCTGTGATCTCATTCTGTGATTACCAGAAATTCAGTTACATAGTAAAATGCTGTCTCTAAACAATGGAACTGTGTGAAAATAAATATTGTGTTTGCATTTGTTGAGATTATCCCAGATGACTAAATCATGTGAAACTCTCTGCATATTGAAGTAATTCTCAGAAAGCTGTCTGGTCCATACCTAACTAGATACAGGTTTTTAAACAAGTATATAAGAAAAAAGGAAGTTAAATTTGAATTTTTTGACTTACTGGTTTACCATGTTGTCTCCCTCCATAAGAATATGAGCCCTGTAAGAAGTCAATGCAACATCTATTAATTGAAGGAAAAATCTTCTGTCACTGTCTTGAGACAATTTGTGCAGTACTTAGAACAAACTTATGTGGGGGTTGTTTGAACAAAAACAGCAAATGGGGTACCTAAAACTTTGTCTCCGTACTGCACACCAAACCAGTGGCAATTTGAACCAAGAGAGCAGTGTTATGAAATACAGTTTGGTGGTTATAGTACATTCAAAGGAATGTTTTACACAGAGCAGTAATTCATTGGAACCAAATCTTTTATTCACCTTGCTGAAATGACCAATTGGTATTACCTCAACTATTCAGGTTTTATAAAATGGCCAAATTAATGTATCTTTCAGCATCAAGTAACTGACCTGATCTAGAAAGTATGTTAGGAAGAAGCTAGGAGTGATGGGATGGAAAGATACTCACCGGCCCACCATACTGGCTGCTTCCTGAGGGATAAGATCCCTATTAAAAAGAATATGAGAATTTAACAGCAGTTACTTTTTTTTCCTATGCAGAATGAAACATCACAGAATGACTTTTAACAGGAGATCTCTGTAACAATCTGGAAAGTATGTTAATCTAAAAAGATTCAGTGAAAGACTTTGATTTAATGCCTCTAAGTTCCTTAACAGCTGAAAGTACTAAATTGGGCAAACAGTCACAAACCACCTGCTAAGACTGTTCTGTTACATAAATAAATGGATCTAAAGTGTCTTACATATGGCTTTCAAGAGAAAAAATCTACTTTATGTGATTTTCTGCTACATCAAATGTGTTCAGAGAGCATCATGTCTAATATTGTAAAAATATACTTATGATTCCAAATAGGTAATTTGGGAACAAGATTGATTTGCAGCTGTTAAAAATCCTCTCCATGCTACAAGAGATTATCTTCTTTGTAGAGTGATACTGAACTCAACTGCTTGGCAATGGAGTGAAAAGAAATTATTTTTTTAAGTGTAGCAGAGTGAAACATTGCAAATACAATAATACTAATGAAAAATATGCTCCATCTTATTAGACAGCCATCCGTTACATCTGTCGATTACTTGCAGTAGTAGGATTTCAGAATCAGTTACAAATTACTAAGTCTAGAGAAGGTACTCAGGGAGCTGATTACAGTAAGAGACTTGAACTGCAGCTGAAGATGAGGAAAGTAGTATTATTGGGTGCAACACACCAGAATTTATATTTTCGAAGCAATATCTATTGGTATATTTTGTGCCAAATTTTTTCAAATATTCAATCTAAAGTTTAAAAAAAAGATAACTTCAATATAATTAAAAAATAACTGAGAAAATATATTTTGAACTGGCATCATAGCAATGTGAAACTGAAACATAAAAATGGTTAATTAAAATTATCACTTGAGATAAGAGGCATTTTGAGGTAAAACAACTAGAATTATGATCTTTAAACTGAAGTTTAAACATGAAGTTTGTTCATGCTACTCCATTTCAGTTACTGAGAGATGGTCCCTGTTTTCAAATATTTATTAAGAGTGTCTCTGAAAAACCAACAGTATATGCACTGCATCATGTTTTTCTTTTAATAAGTAGCAAGTAGAAAGATCTTGAAAACAAAGAAAACGTGCTTGCCTGTCCACCATACTGATTGCTTCCAGAATATGATGAACCCTGTAAAAAGAATGGGAAATTTTCATAAATAGTTTTCTAAATAGAATCTGTCATTAAAAAGTCCTGGGCCTAATATAAACAGTACTCCTGACATTGATTAACTTGAAGAACTTTACACAGTTATTAATGCAGTGGCAAATGACTAGTTATCCACACATCATGTTAATGGTTTAGGCAGTGAATGAACCCTGTGAATGATTCTTCAGTAATTTTTCGAGGTAAGAAAGCTCCTATAACTACAAAGTAAGATCTTGGCTCTAGTTCATAGAAAGATATAACTGAAATGTCAAGAGTGACTTAATAAGAGCCCCATACACTCTCTGGAATTATTGTCCTTATCTCTGTGACTAAACTGAACTCAATATTTGGTGGGTTCTGGGCAAATATGGCAACTGAGCCATGTTTATTCCTGGGGAATAGTTCCTGAGGAACTAATCTGTGTATATGTTAAAGACAAACTGCCTACCTGTCCACCAGCATAGTTGGCTCCTCCGAAAGAGCCCTGTGTTCAACAGAAATAGAAGTGTTTACTCTGTATTAAATTCAATGTCACATAGAGGAGAAACAAGACAACGTATTGACCAGTTGTAGTGATCAAGTAATTTACACTGATTACTACTATTCTTTTGATTAAACAAGTAAAGGATTTAGTTTTGATTAATTGTGATTTATATGTCAAATAATTTATGTTTATATATATAATATATATAAGTGATAATATATTATAAAGTAATATAATTTCTATTTATATAAATTCTAATTTTTAGGTTATTTTTGACACTTTTGATTCCCAGAATTTGCATGGGTGTCATGAGTTGTATACTTGGGCATGTGGTTTTGCTTGATTATGTAATCAAGGAAAGAGAAGTAGTCATCTAAGCAATTTTGACTATACTGAGCAAACAGGTCACTGAACCATCTTTTGGAAGTAAATTAGCTTGATCTCAGCAAACCAGTGGAGTGGGGTTTCTCAGATGTTGGGGGGGGCATTTGTTTGTTTCTTTTTAAAGTATTTACAAAAGTATAAGGAATATACTAATTAGACAGAAAAAATGGAAATATATAACTTTTTAAATGCGTTGCTCTGCTCCAATCTGAAAGCATTTGGGGACATGATTTTAGATCTAAGTTTCACTAGTTGAATCATACTGTTAGTAACCATCATAAGAGCAGCACTGTTACACACACACGTCCAAAACTCAATGAAATATTTGGGAAACAGATTCTTAGAAAAGTCCCAGGCCTCTCTCACAAACTGAGTAGCTAGTTTTGAATACACTACTGCAGTTGCAAGTCACTTAATATTTTTGTCTTTAGCAGGTTCAAAATTGTTCATTTTAGTATAATGTGAAGAAAACCTCCATCATACACAGAATTTCACAGACAGAATTATTTCAAGAAATGTAGTTCTTTGGAAATTTTCCAGTATGTGTACATACTATGAAAAATATATAAAGACAAAGAATACTTACTGGACCTCCACCGGGGCACACACACCCACCCTGTACAAAACACAACCGAACTTACTTTCCTGGGTCTCTGATTGGAATAGGACTCTGAATTTGTAAATCAAACTCACATTCTGCTAACTGTAAGCAAATGGACTATAAAATCCTGCTCATAGACTCCCCAAGCTCCATCTAAAAAGTAGTTTCTTTCTACCTCCACTGCCCTTTTCAGACTAGCTGTGCAGTTACTCATCAATTTTTTAAATAGAATTTTCTAATTTCTCATTTAAAATTTACACTAAAAACTCTTAAAATGATGAGTAGCAGATTCTGAATAGTAATACAGATTTTATTTTTTTTTCCCCTGAGGAGACCAGAGCACCTAGAATTTTCCCAGGGAAGTGGTCACAGCACAAAGCCTGCCAGAGTTCAAGAAGTGTTTGGACAATGCCCTCAGGCACATGATGTGACTCTTGGGGTGTCCTGCGCAGGGCCAGGAGTTGGACTCAGTGGTCCTGATGGGTCCCTTCCAACTCTAGCATATCCTGTGATTCTGTGAGTACATACAGTACTCTTTCATGCTATGGATGTTACAGGAAACACTAAAGATGACTTCCAGTTGAGGCTTATTAGGTAATTTCTACTCTGATAAAACTAAGTAAGAGGTGGTTAGGGGTTTACCATTTAGTGTTTCACTTTCCACATTCAATCTGGATGAAATGTGTAAAGGGAAGCAGTTCTCATGAAGGAAAGCTACACAAAGCAGTTTGTGAGTGCCTGACACTAGCAGAGCTGAACATTGCCGAGAAAGAAGGACATACCTGTCCACCAGACTGTCTGACTCCTGAAGAAAAGCCCTGGAAAAAATGAGTAACTAATTATTTCTGTGTTACTGAGTAACATTCTCACTTGTTCTCTGTGGTCCTCAGTCTTTCAAATTGCTTCTGTTTAAACGTAACAACAAAAAATGGGCTTCTCGAACCATGATCTGTTAAAGAAGCATTTCCATGCAGTCACACAGGCCCCTGTATCATTTGCTCATACCATGATCTGACATAGTGGTCACACCCATACTTAGCAATCCTCACTCAGCCTGGCTTAAAGCCATTCTTTTTTAGAATGTTCCTTTTTTGCAAAAAATACAGGTCCATTTTGCTAATGTTTTTCTAATTGTGTACCCAAAGTGCAGGTACTATGGAAGTTAAAAGTTTTACCTGTCCACTGTACTGGCTGCTTCCTGAAGAAGCCACACCCTAAAGAAATGAGAAAGCATTTATATATGTTGCACATTATTTAACTTATGACCTGTCACAGAAAAACATATTTTTATTTGTCTTCCATGAACTTAAGTGTCATAGGAATGCAAACACTTATTTTATGGCCATACTGAAAGCCACTGGCCTTTACAGTGGCTGCTATTTAGACAGAACAATGAAGTTTGAATCAAAGTCAGCTTTAGGCAGGTGAGAGTAGTGCTGCTGCCCTGGATCGTGTGCTCACAGCAGCCTCCTATGTTTTACTTATGAGAGTGGACTGACACAAAAGAAAGTCATATATTCATCTGTTCTGCCTAAACACTGTTTTGCTGTAAGATACCCCTTTACAAAGTATTCAATTTTTCACAAAAAAATGGAAAGATGAACAATGGAAAAAACAATCCATAAATAGAAAAACAATTCTCACCTGTCCTCCATAATGGCTGCCACCTGGGAAATATGGACCCTGAAGCAAAGGTGCCAATTATTTCTCAAATCAAAAAGCTTCTTTAAGAGCTTTTTTAAAGAAAGACTGTTTCCTTTCTCTGTTGCACAATGAAAAATTACAGGAAGATAGACATTCAACCTATTGCTTTATGTGTTCTGTGCAAATTAGGGAGTGTCCTTAACATATGAATCTTCCATAATATTGATCATGAGCTATTAGGATGCATGTGTAGCTTTTTGAGACTATACTTGGACTGAAAAATCTCTTTCTCCTCTAATCCCCTATCCAATAAATCGGACAGTCAATGTTTTCTGAGTCCAAGGATTAGTTTGTTGGGGATGTCACTCCATATTAGAGGCTATACCTCTAGGCAGCACTAGGAACCCTATCCATCATCTTTCATTTCACAAGGGCATGGAACACCTCTCTTAGCAGCTCCTGATCTTCTGCCCTGTTCCTCTTCTGAGACATACTGCTTCTCTGACATCAACTTTGATTTTGCATTTTACCAAAGGAAGTGAGGTAGAGGAGGAATGAAATCTCCTTCCAGCCACTCCTTACTGTTAGAGCTAAGAAACCTTGACAGCAGCAGGACAGGCTGGAGGGTAGAACAAGGCCAGAACTGCATTAATTGTGATACAACAGAAGCACCAGATCTACATAGGTTTTGTACTGTTTCAGATAGATACCTGATCATAAATTATCAGATCAACAGAGTTTACTCAAAAAGGTTTTTCAGTTAATATAAAAGTATCAAGTTTTGATGTGGGAACTGTGTGTTAGAATAAGAACTACATAGGAGGAGATTCTCACCTGCCCTCCATACTGGCTGCCTCCTGAAGAAGGTGAACCCTGAACAAAAAAGAATTTAATGATCTCTGTGTGTCATTCTAGCCCTTTGAACCATGCTCCACATAAGGGAGAAGTATCCAGTTGCTTTCACTGCAGAACTATGAGTGGATTGAACCACAAATGGGTAAGAATCATCTGCATTTACCATGATGCATCAGAAATTCCATCTTAAAAATTCTTTTGTGGCTTTGTATCACATACATTTATAACTACTATATACTTAGCAACAAATTAGATAAAACATGGGGGGAAAATCACCAAAATAAAACACAATCTCCTTAAAATGTTCTTTTACACAGAGACGTTTATCCAATGTCTCTGATGAAGTAGTAAACACCACAAGGGAAGAATTCTCACCTGTCCACCATATTGGCTGCCTCCTGAGGAAGGTGAACCCTGAAAATAAAAAAGGAAACTGAAACTTTTTTACATCTATTTCATAGACTCATAGAATCATTTCATGAGGCTTTAAAAAATTTTAGATTTTTCATGAAGTACTTATTTCAGAAATTCATGACCTTTTGTCCTGGAAATTTCAGGAGTTGAGTCAACCATGTATTTCACATTCTATTTTTTCTTAGTCTTAAATAATGATCTTCATCTGAACTTGTTTTGTTTAATCACAGTGGCACCAGAGCATTATGGAGAAAGATTTACTGAGAAGATTTTAGACTAAATTAAAGCTAAAATAGACAGTCAGGTAGACAATGAATAAACTGCAGCTTTGCATAGGTCAAAACTGCAGCTTTGCATAGGTCAAAACTACAAGAGCAGGGACTACTGAATGCTTACTTGTCCACCATATTGGCTGCCTCCATAAGAAGATGGCCCCTAGGAAAAATATTGAAAATTGGTTATTTCTGAATTCATGGAGATGAGCAGCAAAGAAATCTATATTTTGTTATTTGACTGTTTGTGTGCAATTATCCCAGAATAAACTGCATTTTTGTCTTCCTTGAATTCACATTATTATGACAGAATACAGACCACTGTCAATTTTCTTGAAATAATAAATTGAGATCTTCTATTAATATGAGTCAAATACTTATAAAACAAATATATAATATAAAATATTAAAAGTAAGAGCTTACATGTCCTCCATACTGGCTAGCTCCTGAGGAATATGAATCCTGTAAAGAATACCAAATGAGTGAATTACCTGCAGTAGGATTTCCTTAAATCAAAACATGACTCTCCCAGGACAACAGGAGCAAGAGAGCAGGGTAAGAGTGAAGACAGGTGAGCAGGACTTTCATTATGCTTTAATGTTCAAGCCTTACAAGGTAAGTTGGAGAAATACCTGAAATCTTAAGCAAGGGTGGAAGGCAAAGATGTACTGCTTTGTCTGTGTGACTTGTTGGGAAGGTTAAAGTGGCCTTGTTTCCAGTTCTTTCTCTGCTCATTTCTAGAGAATGGAATTTCTTTATTTGGAAAGCTGAGTCCTGGGTCAAACCTAGCAGTAAAATACTGGCTACCCAACAGGCCTCTGAAAACCAAACTTAGCAAATTTACTGAAACCTCATACAACAAGAGGTTTCTTTAAAGAGAGGAAATTGGATTTGCTTTTCTTCATAATGGGATTAGGTCCACTAGTAATAAAAAATGCTACATTTTGATTAATTTTTTCTCCACACTTTTTTTTTTGTGAGCTTCATTATGCAAATTTAATGAAAAAAAGGGCACTATTTGCTAAAAAACTCCTTGTGTATAATTTTTAGGACATTTCAAACCCGATGAATTTCATTTACTGAGCTTTTGCCCTTTATACACAGTTCCCATATAGAAACTGAATTTAACTGAGTGAATAAATAACCATCATTTTCAGATGTGAAAAACTGGCTCTCCTTTTGGAATGAGTGCTTACTTGGCTGCTGTACTGGCTGCCTCCAGAAGAAGATGAGTCCTGGGAAAAAAAAATAACAAAGCAATCAGTTGTTTTTCTCTAAAAGAACTATTTCAAAGCAAAACTTCTTGAAGAATAGCAGTATATAAATTTATATTTTAAACCTTTTTGCTTGGGTTTAAAGTCCATTCAAAATGTAAAATCTAGCCCTCCCTACTCTGTTAATATGTCTAAAATTTAGAGTGTAATTGTATACCAGAATGGCTGCCTCTAGAGCCCTTTCAGAAAGGAAATACTGGTTATTTCACTTCAAAGGATATGAATGAAGGATGGGCAGCTTGTTTGTTTCAGTTTAAAATCACTATACTGAAGAACTACATCCTTACAAAAAGTTTTAATATTAATTCTTCTAGAGTACTACAGACCTTTAGAGTACTCAGATTCCACAAGATCTGCTAGGCTCATAAGCTGTTTTGTGTTTAGCACATAATGTGAAATATGTATCAGAAATGTGTCCTTCATCATGAATCTTAACTGTGTAAAATGACTTTTCAATTGCTCTGTAAAGAAGATATTAAAGGTAAACTGCAACATGTACTTGGGGGAGAACTAAGATCTACACTCAATATGCAAAAGCTGCTCTCCTGTGCTGAAGTACTGGGTGTATCTATGCATTAAAGTACAGATCAGGAGTGTCCCTCTGAGACAGAAGTCCTGATAGTTCCCACTCACTGTAGTTTGTTTTTCTATCATGGGGTGGTCTCAGAGTGAATTAACTGGATGCCATTCAGATTAAACTAAATTTTAAAATGCTCTCTAGGGATACACTTAATGCATTCAGGTAGTAAATGGACTTCTGGCCCGTGGGACCAGACCAGAGCAGACCATTCCTGAAATGTGTGCAGTATGGCCATCAGTTCATCAGCACTGTTGCAGTTTGCAGCACTCATTGAAGTAGACACTCCACTATGTTCCCCCCTTTATGTATAATCCTCAGTTCCAAACTGCTGTCCAAAGACAGCCAAGTCAGTTAAAAAACCAAAAAGAATCAGTCCCAATTGGAAGTTTCAAAGGAAACAAATACCAACAACAGTAATATGAAGGATGTAGAACACAAGTAGTTAAGAATATTTTCCTGAGTGTAGATACATACACTTTCCTCCTTCCTACAAGGGAGAACAAGACCAGTCCTATTTATCATGTAATATTAATTTTTGTATGGTACATTTCTGTAGCAGTGTCCAAGCCAGCTTTGTATCAATCAGCAGTCTGGTACAATGTGGTACAATGCCACAGAGTTCTGTGCTAGATGCAAAAAGACCCACATGTTTTTCTTCCCTTTGGTGCAGCACATACAGAGCTCCCATGACATACATTATGACTTTCCAACACACAGTGAACAGAACTGGAGTACTGTCAACAGATCTCTCCTGCAAAAATGTTCTTACCCCTATGAGAGGGCAAGCAACATTAGATGACCGATCTATGAATACTAACCTTTTTTCATAGAAAATGATCTACAAGGAATATAATCATGTAAATCCATATCCTTGGGGGATATTTTTACAGAATTCCAAAGAAGCCTGTTCCAATGGAACAGACTCCTGAAGTAAATATTTATACTGTCATGTACCTGCATTTTTGACAAACATTTTTCATTGAAAGACCTCTTTACATGAAAACTATTTTAAATGGAAAGTGAAGCTGAGTGTTGCATGAATGTCCTGTGTATATTTTTGATTGAAACTAAGGTATGTTATTTTCACAAATGTATGACTTCTGTTAGGCACTGACTCTTTTAACCTCTCCAGCTAAAAGAGACAAAGCAAACAGAGGGCACACTTAAAAGCTGAAGAAGATTTCTTACATTTGCAGAGGCATCACTTCTGACTAAGGTAGGGGATCCACCCTGTATGGGGAAAAAAAAAAAAGAAAAGAAAAATTAGCCTTTGTCTTTGATCATAAACTGGAAATGAAACAAAACCTTAAAATGCCTGTTCTACAGCATTTCAAAGGAAAAATATCACAGTCTGAAATTAATTGCGCTTACATCGCACTTCCTTTTATCAATTTACCAAGATAACAAACAGTCTTTTTTTGGCCTGGAAGACCATAAATCAAAACATATCATATTGTATCTATCTATCATATTGTTTACCCTGGAGAAAAGCGGGGTCAGGGGGACCTTATTGCTCTCTACAACTATGTGAAAGGAGGTTATAGTGAGGTGAAGAGTTGTGCCTTCTTTGGAGTAACAAGCAATAAACAAGAGGTAATGGCCTCAGGTTGGTCCAGGGAAGGTTTAGATTGGATATTAGGAAACAAATTCTTCACTGAAAGGATTATAAAGCACTGGAACAGGCTGCTCAGGGAAGGGGTTGAGTCACCACACCTGTATATATATAAAAGATGTGTACATGTGGCACTTAGGGACATGGTTTAGTGGTGGCCTTGGCAGTACTGAGTTAATGGTTGGACTCGTGGCATTTTCCAACCTAAATGATTTGATGATTCCATAATGCTGAATTCTTCATCTTGGCGTAATGAGAAATAACCCCTACCATATCAGAAACATCTAAGTCACCAAAGGAACAATGAATATAAAATTAAGAGTACATTAAAGTAAGTAAGTTAAAAATAAATAGGATCACAGATAATTTTCCAGTTAAATAGTTTAGTAAAAGAAAATGTATAGTGAAAAAGTAGCACTTACAGAACTTCCCCCAGAACAATCACATGCACCCTGTAAAGAATACAGAAAGTATTTAAGATATCAAGAGCACAGGACTGAAATAGACTCCAGAGCCAACTCAAATTACTTCTACCATCGCAGGCATGCAAACCATAAAGATACATTCTTAACTGCCCGACTTCTAGAAATGAATTTATTTCATCCTCTGCAACTATTTCTGCACTTACTGCTCTGATGGAGCAACAAAATGCTAATTTTGTTATCTTCAAATTTTCTTATATACAGTCTTTACCTTAAAAACCTTACTCACCAGAAGGAAGAATAAAAAATTCCGAGTAGTACTACAGAAAGCAATTTTTTTTCCTAGAGAGTCCAGAGCACCTGGAGTACATGCAGTACTATGTCCTGTTACAGATGATACAGAAAACAGGTGATTTCTACTCTGATAATACTAACTGAGAGGTGGCCAGGAGTTCACCATTCACTGTCTCACTTTCTACATTCAATCTGCATGAGATATGTAAGAAGAAAAATGTTTAGCACCAAAGCAGGTACAGAAGCTCATATACAACTGTCAGCGAGTTACTACTGGCTACTCTGGTTTGCACAATGTCCAAATAGCATGGCAAAAGAAAATGTGTTGCTGAGGCTTTGGGCAAAAAGAACAGTGGTGAAGGAAAACAGTTCTGGTGAAGAAAAGATATGAAAAGATAATTGTGAGTGCCTGACACTAACACAACTGAAGACTGTGGAGCAAGAAAATCATACCTGTCCACCAGGCTGGCTGCCTCCTGAAGAAGATGAACCCTGTAAATGTTATATTCTCATTTAAAAGTTTTTCTTTAAATTTTGACATGTGCATTTGATTACAATGTATTGTCTTTTACTCTTTTAATTACATTTGAAAAGATCTATCTGATTAAGAACCAAATTTTATCTATGGAAAAATTAATGAAGATAAAATAAACCACACAGTAGCCTGGAAAGTTACGTATTACCAATCTGGCAATACTTTCTGGAAATATGTACACTGGGGGGGAAAAAAACCTCACAATAACAACAGTGAAAAATTTCCCACCTGTCCACCATACTGGTTGCTTCCAGATGATGATGAGTCCTGAAAAAAAAATTAAAATTGCTTACTTTTTGTTTTGAAAATACAAATTAAGACTAAATATTTATTACTTTATTTTTTCCTGATGTTAGAACATCAGTTAAGACAGGAATTGTATTTTGACCACTCTGCTTACACTTGGACTTTTACACAGAGATATATAATGAAGAATGAATCAATCTTGTTCACAGATAAAAAATTGCTGTAATACAATATGAGGCCTCAAACTTTTGTATAATAGATACTTCAGGACAAAAATACAAAGATTTAGTATTTACCTGTCCACTCGAGTAGCCACCACCTTGAGAAGATGATCCCTATAAAAAGCAGATGCAATTTATTTTTGTTGAAAATGGCTTCTGGAAAACAAGACTGATGTTGAAGACACACAATTATTAATTTTTTTTTCTAAACAGCTTGCCATTTGATTTCACAAGACATGATGCCAGATGTCATGGGAAATTCTAGGAAATGAATGGCTTGGTACACTTTACTCATTTGGATAATTTTTAAATAGTAGAGCCATTTTGGAAGGGAACTGCAAATAATGAATAAAATAGATGCTTACATGTCCACCTGACTGGCTGCCTCCTGGGGAATAAAAATCCTGGAAAAATGTATTGAAATTACATGAAAAAACCAAAAACCAAAACCTGGAAAGATCAGGGTGGAAGCTAAACACTCCTTGCTTCTCCACCTTCCTTAATTTTCTCTTGTTCAAGAACAAAAATTAAAATCTGTCTTTCTGTATAAAACAGTACATGCCTCTTTATGACTATTGATAATTCCTCTTTTGATGAAGATATTCTTTGGGATACAACAAATGAAGAATTATTATATCTCCAACAAAATAATTTCTCAGTCTTTGTTACTTAATCCTCATTAGAATAAATACAATGGGTGCCATGTAAAAATGGCATAAAAATGGAAAGCCTCACATAGCACAACAAAGCAAAGGGTTGCACTTGAAATAAATGCTGCAAAAATCATGGTATTGAGGCCCTTTGCAGTCAAGCAGTGATTTAAAAAGCACAGGAACCGGAACAATAAATTGTGGTATCACGTTTGTGATGTGAGTTTGATATTTAAGAGCACACCTCAGCATTGGTTGGGGTTCCTAGCAGTACTTCGACTCTTCAGCCATATCCTCATTCCCTCTGTGCTTGAGGACTTTCTATCCCACACTGGAAGCTGCCACACCAGTTTCCACACAGGATTTAGGTGTCTGGCAGTTGCCAAGCCCCGGGGCAGACACCCTGGCAATATACAAGGAAGGAGTGCTTACCCGTTCACTCTGGCGGCTACCAGCTGGTGAGGAGGAATCCTAAAAAACATTAGAATTGAATTACTGCAATGGCAAATGTTACTATTTTTTTCTGAGCAAGGGTGGAAGGCAAAGAAAAATACTGTTTGTTGGGAAGATTAAAGATGTAGGCTGTAGGATAAGCAGCCCACAAGTTCTTTCTCTGCTCATTTCTGGTGAATGGCATTTCTTTATTTTGAAAGGTGAATTCTGACACAGTGATATAAAGGAATGAGATCACATCTCAATCTATTTTATTTCCTCCAGAATGTTACAGAGCAAAGGATCAGCTGTCTTGGTTCTTGTAGAACCTCAGTGGTACACACCAATGTTTTTATACCTTACTTTCTTTCAGAGGGCTTTTTGGGCCCTCTGTAGTATCATATTTTAGCTTTCTTGAATATCTGTAAAAAGATTTTGGTACAGAAACTACATTGAAACTAATGACCCAGTATACTTATGGCTGAAGAGCACAGCTGAATTTATAATTATTTGCAGAGAACAATTTCCTACTAACCAGGACCAGACTTACTGAAAATCCATTTAAAGTACAATCAATTACTCAAGGCGGAGACTTTAAACTTGGAAAGTTTTATAAACAGCTTCAGCAGAATTTATAGGAAATATACTTTAGTCAGGAGAAAAGGCACCTTCTTAAACAAAAAAGCAGGCAGTTTTCATCACACTACACAAAACCAGAACGTTCCTATGTAATATATAGATGAAGGAACTTCCATCTTATACGTCTGGCATTGGAAAAACACAAATGAAGTGTAGTGTGAATTGGGGACAGGAGAGGGAAGTAGTCACATAATAATATTGCGTTTTGATGCAAACTGTGAAATAAAGAGTTTCCTTTGTAATTGCTACTTCTAATAACCAATTAAAAATGTATGATTTTTACAAGTCAGAACTGTTGTAACTCCGATTTTAATTTGCAAAGCCCTTATCATACATAGCACAATAGCATGACATAATTTAGATTTACATTTTCCATTCTCTGTAGAAAAAATACAATTTCAAAGAAGTTACTGTAGAAAATGATGAACAGCAGATGATTAGAATGTAGTGTGAAGGAGTTCTTGGAGATAAGATTATGAGTTAAAGTAAAGGTCCATGTAAGCAAATAGATACTTTAAGAGGTAGTGAATTAAGATATTGATATAGTTGAGAAGAAATACTTACACTCTCAGCAGTTTCACTGCCTCCTATGGAAGGCGAATCCTGTAAAATAATGAAAAAAACATTTACTTTCATATAAAAAGGACTCTCACATGTTCTAAATTGTGGAGAATATAAAATAAAAGAATAAAAATAACAAACCGCTTAGAATCTTCAATTTTACCTAAAGCAGCGAATGTGCAAGAAAAGAAAAAAATATGTAACTTCACCTGTTGCATAAATGGAAGAGGCTGGGGGAAAAAAACCCTCCTTGCAAACATACATTTTTATAAGGAAAAATTTTAGATAAAGTTCATTTGCAAAGTTAATAATTCTTTATATTCAGAAATCCCATTATCTATACTTTCAACAGGTTCTGCATAAGTAAAGTATGTAAAGTAAATGCACAAAATGTTTTCCTTTTGAATGAGCTAATGCATAAACAATAAAGTGGTTAAAGCACTGAACAGCCACAGGGCACAGTTAGTGGGCTTCCCTCCATTTGAGTTGTAAAAGGGTGAATTAAAGAGAACCAAAAGATAAAATGGCATTTCTGTGGTCATGGTCACTTAAAAATAACTGAAACCTAGAACCCAGTGCACATAAGAACCAACAGAGCAAGCTTAAGCTTTTGGTGTAGGAGACAAATAACAATTACCTGGCCATAGGACTCAGCACCACTATATGCGGAAGATCCACCCTGTTCAGAAAACATAAACAATTCTCATACTGCAAACAGAATAATTCTCATATTTGGAACAGACTTTTTTTTTGGACACTAACTGTAGGGATCTCCTTCTGGGAAGATTTAAAAAGTATGATTATTTACCTAGTTATAAGAATGGCTCTTGAGCAACTCATAATTATGTCCCTGTAAAACACTAATTTAACATATTTTTTAACTCAAATTCTAATTCCACTTTTGAAGAGACCTTCATCTTGCAGGTGATTCAAAGCTAGCATTGTTGACAAGAACAAACCTTAAAGATTGGAGGCACCCCACTTTTTACTCCCTTATAAACTTTTAACTAAGTAGCCTGGAAATATATACAAATTCACTCACTCCTCAAAGAAAAAGCCCACTTTCATTAAAATATAGCAAGAACCAAAAATACAGAATATAGCTGTATATTTGACCCAGGCTATTTGCCCCCAGCACCCTCTATACAAAGAGAAAAAAAGAGTATTTACCTGACCATAGGATTCACTGCTACCGTCATAAACAGAAGACCCTCCCTGTAAAGAAAATAAAAAAGTTGATTAATTTGGTTCCCTCAAGAAAGTGTTTTCTGTCTTTCAAACACAGAATAGGAATGAAAATAAAAGAACTCTGTTATCTCTACAAACAAGAAAGAACACCTACCTGTCCGTAAGATCCACCAGGATAGTAGGAAGACCCTCCCTGCACAGAAAACACAGAAACTTACTGGTTTGAATTGTTCTCTCAAGGAATACTTTTACACTGCTCCTGTGAAGACACAGTGACCCGAATATTTACCTGGTTACCAGAGTAAGAACTGTGGGAAGAACCTGGGCCGCCCTAGAAGAAAAACACAAACCAGTTATTTTCTCACAGACAAGAGTTTAAATACCTGCCTATCCAGTTCTCTCTTTACACTCTTTCTCCCAATTTTGAGCTAATTTCTATGTACCTGAATACAGGTACTGTTAAACTAGAAGAAATCTTCTGGTGGCAACTTTCTTAGCCTGCTGAAATTTGTATTCTGCCAGGAAGCTCCAGTCTATACTGTTCTCTGTCAAACTTCACACCTCTATCTTACATCAGGGTTAAGTTTTCTGCTCTAAGGGACAACAGTCAGGTCTCTAATTATGGCATGTCATGGCACCCACAATACTGGGAGTGATGGAGCCAGGAGGAATGGGAGTTTGTGTTATCCTGGTAAGGGAGGAAGAACTACTACCTGTCCATAGGATCCTCCGGGATAGAAGAAAGGCCCTCCCTGTGCAGAAGACAGAATGGGTTACTGGTTTATATTTGGCTACTCCTTCAAGGGAAGGTTTTGGATGGAGCTTCTGAATAGGGCATTTTATCTGAATGTTTACCTGGTTACCAGAATATGTGCTGTGTGGATAACCTGGGGCTCCCTGAAATGAAAACATAGACTAGCTATTTTCTTGCAAGCAGACATTTACATGAGTCCATTCTGAATTTCTGTTCTTTCAAATAAAGCTTTTGAGGACAACATTACCGCAAACATTAAAAGAGAATGCTGGGGGGGGGGATTGTTAGAGATCAGGAAAACTTTAGCAGGTTCTGATTTTTTCTCTTCAGGTTAAAAGATCTGAAAATAGTACTAACATTTAATTTTACTCTTTCTAATCACAGAATCTAATGTCATACCCTGCGGACTCTGTTGTTATAGATGATCATGATAATGATGGTCTTTTTAAAAATTGCCAGAACACTGAACTTCCAAAGTGTAAATAGTGTTTAGGAGAGCTCACCACTTATGAGAGAAGACTATTTACCAGTTCACAGCATCCACTATTACTGTCACATCCCCTTCATATACAGAACAGGGAAAGTATTATTCTATGGTTAGACTGCTTCCTCAGAGCAGTAGACTAAGGTCTTGCCTTTAGATGAAACTTAGAGAAAAAGCAGAATAATTGCAGTGTGAGACATTTGGGGATCCAGGATCCACATAAGGAAAACCATTTTTCTTTGAAAAAACTTTTTACAGGAATTTTCCTTCTGTGCTGAAGAATCTTCAAGGAAGTAGATAACTCTTTTATGTAAGATTTATGAATGGTGGTTTATTTGTACATGTACATCTACCTATAGCTTGCTTTTTTATTCAGAAGCTAATCTGTTTGCATGCTAATCTAAGGCACTGTAGCTGCCACATGTAGAGGGCCCTGGACAGAAAATGAAGATAGCTCTGTTTTTTAATTCAGTCTATTCCTTGCAAAGATTGCTGGATTTTACTGTTGGATGAAAGCAAAGATCAAGTCTATTGCTATCTAGTTCATCATAAATTAATTTGATCAGCTGATAAAATTGCAAACTGGAAAACAATCTCTTGTGAATCAAAGTGGACACATCTGCACTGAGAGTTGATTTTCTACTGTATCCAATTTCGATGTCTTCTTTACTTCATGTTGAAAATTTTTGTTGATAGCAACTAAATACATACACTCTCATCTCCCCAATCAAGGTGTGGTGGATTCCTGTTACAAACTAAGTCCTTTTTTGCAACTATTAAAGCATGTAAAGAAAAGGGCTCATCAGAATGAAAGCTTGCATAAAGATGTCCACCTTTTTCCTTGTAAATGGATTTGTTGATATAGATTTACAATCACATGACAAATAAAGGTTTTTCCTCAATTAGGTTTCAATAGTAGTTATCTTAAATAGACTAGTTTATATTTTAAAACATACAGGTCATGATTACTGCTCACCCTCAATTAGGTGAAAGAGGTGGTATTCTACCTGACCAAAATGATTTCTCTTTATTTTAAGTTAATGAAGTTAAGTCCAGAAAGCAGTAATTTTTTTATACTGTTAGTTTGTTTAAATAGCATGGGGTTTTTTTAACAGAAAGAATAATCCGCAAAATAATTCCCATTGAAATTGAAAACTAAAAAAAAATATTACACCATTCAAATGGTTTTATGGAAATACAGCTTCGGTAAAAGGTTCACAATAAGTATTCTGGTAGAAGAAAGCTGACTTTAAAATCCAAGTTCATCTGTCTTTGCCAGGTGAAGCCAGAAGCCTGGTAAAACTACTCTATAATGTCTAGGTAAGCACATTCCTTGGCGTTTTTCCCAGCACAGGGGCATTGCCTAAGAGAAAAGTTTATCCAGTGCAAGTGACAATGAAATTGCAGTGATTGTCTTTATGGGAAAGAACAGTTTAAATGTTGATTTAAGAAACTAAATTTTGAAACATTTACAGATTTTGATGTTTTAGTCACAGTATTTTATTGCACCAGTTAGAAAGACAAGGAAACTAACCTGGATGCAATTAAATTGATTAAATTAAATTCTGTGGTTACTATAAGGGATAATGACTGTTTTTTGAAAGTAATGAATAATTAGCACATAACAGTCAAGTGACAGAGCATCTGGATCACCAAGCACAGGTACAGGAAGTTAGTGGCTGAACAGTAACTATGCAGCTCAAGTAAAGTGGAATTCATTCTTCTGTTTCATTGTATGTAGTTTACCCATACTAAGGAAATGAACATTAATGTTTAGTGTTAACCAAGTGTCCATATTTACTAGATGATTAATTCAAGATACTACATTATGTAGATTGAAGTATAAACTCAGAAAAATAATTACCTGTCTATGACCACTGCTTCCATCAGGACAAATGCAACCACCCTATAAATTTTTAAAAAAGGAAACAATCATTGCTTTGTGGAAATTTAAAATAAATTCTTATTTCAGATGTGAAACTATTTAGGGGAAGAAAGACTGTGGGGTTACAGAGTAGCTGTGACCTTTCCTACACCTAGAACAAATGAGTTTAGCTCTGAATAGTTAACATTTGCTTTGAAAGTTGGACTGATAGTACATCTCTTGGTGCTGTGTCTCAGGGACAGATGCTCAGCAAGACAGAAGTAGCAAGTAGTCCAAGAGTGCAGAGAATCACCATTGTGCTCTCACCAATAAAACATACATGAAATTGAAACAGTGTTGAAAAGTGACTTCAGAGAGCCATTTCTGATAAATTTAATCTGAACAGTCACTTCATTTACAATTTAATGCATAATATGACCAATGCTCCATGCAAAGGTACTTCACTTAAACTCTGATTCCTGGATTTAATTAGTTTAATTACCAGGAAGCAATCTGGACAAGACTAGTTAAAAATAAAGACAATTCTGACCTGATTACTTGATCCACCACTGGTTGCAATAAATGATCCACCCTTTGAAGAAAACAATTACATTTTATCAAAGCATTTTATGAGAACCTGAATTATAAAATTATGTAGTGAGAAGTAAGATGACAAACTCTTTCTACTACTTTCCTGCATGAACAAGCACTATCTGTTGAATTATTGTGAAAACATAGATTTGGATGAAACCTAATTAATGATACCATACAGGTACCATAATGGGTATCAGGAAAACTAATTAAGAAAACAGTTATTTTCTGGAGCTTATAAATCTGACTGCACTATTGAATTAGATTGCAAACTCTCTTGAGACAGAAGACTATGCTAGTGTTAAATCTGCATAATGTGGCATGTAGCAGGATTCAGGATCTCTGGGAAGCTGATGCTTTAATAAAAACAGAATCAAGTGCCACTCTGGATCATTTAAATTTCACAAAATTCTCTAACATATACAGTGCTGCATCAGTACACGATCCTATAGAATATGAAAGTTGGTTCTACTTTTGTAACAGAAGTACCTAACCCCTAAGATGTACCTACTTACCAAATTTAAAATGAAAAAATTATATATCTGGCCATTACCATCACTAGAGCAGGACTGTTTAAAAAAAAAAAGATTCTAAACCTATTTTTTTGTTGTTTTGCAAATGACTTTTACAAAATGTTACGTAAAGAAACACCTGTGATGGTTACCTGCTTAATGGAGAGAAGGAACAGAACAGACTCTGTATTCTGGGCCCATTTACAACTGCGCAAAGTTATAACATTATAGGGAAAACGCTGCCAATTCAAAATAGCATCCTTCAGCACAGAAGGATTAGTGGAACCTAACTTTCAGAATGAATTATAATTTATCAGAAAGCTCCTTGCAATGATATCATGCACCTGACACTATGTTATTACCTGGACGTCAGTGTGGCTGCTGTTTGAAGGAGAAGATGCATTCTGCGAAGAAATAAAAAAGGACATTTTTCAGTAAGGGTAATATAGTGCTATTGGGAGAGAACTACCTAACCCTAAACAGAATTCTCTGTTGTGGAAACTAGATCCTTCTTTTTGTAGGTAATACAGCAAGGAGCTATAACACCAGCAGTAGTTCAGAAAAGGCGACAAGAATGATTTACCTGTACATCATAGGCTCTTCTGCTTAAAGCATGTGATGTATCCTGTAAAAAACAGGAATATTTGCTATTAGGAGATTAAAACTCTCCAATCTGTGATAGACCTTCTTTTTTTCCCCCCTGTATTTATTTAAAACAGCTCCAGACCCTTTATTATATACATTGAATAGGAATGGCTTATTATAAAATAAAAGGTTGTTTGCACATAATTTTTATAGGCTACTGCTGAGTTTGACTTGAAGCTATACAATACACATACCCGTATCCCCTCCACAGCCTGCTGAGCACGGTAAATTATCAAACATTATTCTTTCTTACTTCATTATTCTATCTCTTTTCAGCTAAAATTTTAGCTGTCCTTTGTATGATACTCATTTAATTTTAACTTTAGCTTGGACCAATTCTGTGCTTAATGAAAAGCAGGAATTTAAGCTGCCCTCTACTTCAAAGCATGATTTGGATGTCTTTTTTTCATATATATATTTCCTTTAAAGAAATTCGTGCAAAGAGCAAATAGTTAAGTAATTTTATTTTAATTTTTCCTTAAGTAGAAGAATATTAGGGCAACATATTTACAGAAAATTTAGGCATAATTAGGACAAGTTCGGCCTAAAAAAGAAAAGAAAAAAAGTTACTTACTCGGGCAACAAGAACTTTCTTCTTTGCACAACCAGAACCCTGTAAAGGAGTCAAAAGATTGTAACTACTTTAGAGGTGGAGTTATTTGCACTAAGTACTTAAGCAAAAATCTACTACTTGTCAAGGTCACATATTCTGGAAAAGGAAAATGTCTGGAGATTTCATTTTAATACCATTAAGGGTCTTAAAAAGCATATTCTTTGTTTGTTTTCCCTTTGTCGTTCTTCGGTCAGAAGTTCCTGCCCAGGGGAGTCTCCCTCAGCTAAACCATTATGGTTTGGAGAACAATATGTATAATTACTCTTTTATGGTTAAGGTTTTCTTGGTGGGTTTTTTGGTTTTGTTTTTGTTTGCTTGTTTGTTTGGGTTTTTTTTTTAGAATTCCCTATCCTTTGTTATAACCAAGGGAATACCAGCATCTTTTGTGAACCAAGGAGGAAGTGATGAGGCCCCTAAACAAGGTTTGCTGCTGAAGGATTTTTTTTTTTCAGAACCTTTTGCATTCAAGGTAAATGCAAGCGAAAACAAAGGATGTTTCAGAAGACCTCCTTACTTTCTAGAATATATGTTTGGTGCAGTACTAAAGTAGTAGAGAGAAAAGTGGGGAAAACAATGAAGCAGTACAGTGTAAGGCTGACAACTGAAGAGAAGGCAAGTAGCTGATGACAGGAGGTTACTCTAGATGGCAGTAAAACAAAAGGAGGCTGTAACATGAAAAAAGCTTTTCTATGAACTGAAAGAAGTAGGGAAAAATGTAATTTATTTACACAACAACATATTTGCTTGGTCACAATCTATCCATGTTAATCACAGTTTCTGCTTGTAGGACAGATGGAAAGTCTTGACAGAGAGAGTATTAGCAGGGACAAATGTTACTTTACAAGAACAGCATAAAAGAGAGTTTAAATTTGAACAAGTGAAAAAAGTTTGAAGTAAGGTACATGCCTCACATACACAGGTGGTTAATTCCTAAAAAACTATACAGTCCAAGTGCATATACTATGAAGAAAATATATCAGTATATATTCTGTATTGTGCACTTTTTAACAACCTTGAGTACAGAGAAATAATTAACTTTTTGAAGGGTATTATAAAACAATTATACACTACAGTTAGAGGTCCATGGGTCTAATATAGAAGTGTTCAGTTACTAACACTGTCATTAATCATAAGAACTTGAATATTACAGAAGAAACGAAGTACTTACCCGACTCTTGGCACTGTAAGTAGTGTCATTCTGGAAAAGAATAAATGATTCACTTTTTAAAGACTTATTTAAATACAGTAAGCTTACAGAAAACTAATTTTTTTCGAAACAGCATACGGACATATTCCACTTGTTGCTCACATTCTCCACAGCCTTGTCTAAATTAGTTTGAAATCCTATAATTACAATCTGAAAAACATTTTAATAGCAGCTTTAGATTGGTAGAAATGCAACATGAAAAGCAGTGGAATATCCATAATTTCTTCTTTCATTCATTGTATGTATTTAAATATTTTCTTTTAGATTTCTTTTTTTTTTTGAAAATTACTGTAAAATGTATCTTTACCTTTTGGGGAAAATCTTCTGTTACTGCAAAGCCATTGAAATACTTTTATCCATATTTCATTTTATCAAGTTAAATGCATTTAAAAACACAAACCATATCTGTAACTACATATTTGACAACTTTCACCAAGAAAAATGCAGTTGCTGAAACAGCTATTAGTGTGGGAACTCGGCATTCTTTCTGGATCATTCTGCTCAAAAGACTGCATCTAGCAGTGCAATATTTTCTCATCTACACAAAAAATGTTGTGATGAAAATATATTAGAGAAAACATACTCACATCATCACAAGCATTGGGATTATCATCTGAGGAATATTGTGAATCCTAGAAAAACAGCAGATACCAGTTATTTCCTCACAAAATGGGTTGTTAACAATACACTTTGATACTGTACTCTGCAAGACAGAAGAGATGCTTCTGCAAAGGAAAAGCTGAGTTAAATTAAATTAAGATCTATGTAAGAAAAAAAAAAAGGAGCCAAATCCATAGCTGCAATAGTTGCTTACAGGGAATGTTCCAATCTTCAGTAAAGAAAAAAACACCCAAACCCAACCCAAAACACAAAGAGCAGAGAAAAAATTATGTTTTATTACATCTTTGAGAAAGATGATGCAGGGACTACAAATAATGTGTAACTAGGAGAAAGAAAGAACTAGTTACCTGATTATCATAATAGGTGTCTGAGGAGGATGATCCACCCTTTAAAACAAACAAATCAACCAAAATCAGGATGTAGAAACCTGATTTTGAGCAGACACTAAAGCTTATATGAAGTGATGTGTAAGTAGGGAAATAGAATATTACTTACTTGGCCACCACCATAGTTTTGGGAGTAGGATCCATCCTACAAAAAAAAAAAATAAACTCTACTTCAGAAGAAACTGTGATTTTCTTCAGGGACTGTAAAGCTGGAATAAACAATTGCCTAGGATTTCTATGAACAAATACAACTTTTAAGATATCTGGATAACTTATCAAATATGATAAGAATTCTTACCAAGGTCTACCTACCTGGTTGCTACCATAATTTTGTGAGGATGATGATCCAGTCTGCTAAGAAACAACAACAAAAATAATTAGAATGAATATTACAATATTGCAGATTGGATACTGATCAACCATCATGGAAATAAAAGCTCATAAAACCCCAGTGGGAGACAATAATAGTCTAGTACTTACTTGGCTACCACCATAGTTTTGTGAGTATGATCCACCCTGTGAAAACAAAACAGCAAGAGTTAAAATTCTGGAGAGCTTAATTTTATCAGAATGCACAGAGCTGTCTTAGGGCACGCTGAGTTCTTTCTATGTAAGTAGAATTTCAGGGCTGACAAAAAGTATGTTTGCAGGGAAAGAGTTACAGGCTGGAGATGGGGAGACCCCACAAGTGTCTATACCCTCATAAGCAAGAAAACTATACACTGAATTAGAAATGCTTAAAAACTTTTTACCAATGGGAAATAAAGAGCTGCCTACCTGACTACCCTGTGATCCACCCTGTGATCCACCCTGTAAATCAGACAAAAAATTATGCATGCTTTAGACACTTGCTGTTTGTATATGGAATATTTTTAATGAAAGTTATGATACTTCCTTAGGAAGAGTAAGAAGAAAAGGTAGATATGTAACATGGATATAATTTCTAATGCAGTAAGCACAGATTGCCAATAGTGCAAAGGTAAATACTAGATGAGAAATGTATGAAAAATTCCCCTGGTAGCATTATTACACACAAAGCTGTGAGCTGTGAAGTACCAGGGCCTCCAGAAATAGGTTTTAAATAAAACACTCAGTATGTTTCAACGTGTCCCCTTTAGAAGAGGAATGTAACTTCTCCAAGTGTAATCAGAAAAGACATTTTTGGAAGTATTAGTGACAAAAGTGCATAATAAGAACAGTGAAATCCTGAGCTATTGAAGTGAGTGGGATATTTGCCATTCACTAAAATCGGACTGAGGCTTCATTCAGAAGAGGCAAAGGAAAATGAAATAAAAAGTATTATCTTTCAATGTTATAGCAGATTTTAGAACAAAATTTAAGGACCTTCTTTAGTCTTACAAAGGAATAGTTCCTCTTTACAAAGAAAAAATTGAAATGCTATTATAAAATAATTACATACCTATTTAATATATTATTCTTTCAAGTTATAGTAATGTATTAAATATGGTGCATTGTATACACTATACCAAATCATATTAATATATTTTAGCAACATCTATGTTGTTTGTATATTTATAAATAAAGTATATATTTATAAAGCACAATTATTTTATCTTATTTTTCTATTCCTTGTGAAAACTCAGTAAGAATCAAAAGAAGTATCAAAAATAAAAAAGAAATCATCTATTGCTGTTTTCTTACTAATTTTCAACATGACAGAGATTACTTCTTTAAACATAGCTGACACCCTTTAGGATAGTAGTTTTTACAGTGCCAACATTGAACTTGGAACAAATATACATGTAGCTGTCTCTAGTTCCCCGCAAAAACTGAATGAATTCTTAAGCCAGTTTGTTCCAGGAACCCCAAGTGGCAGTCCTAAAGTATTTTCTGACTTTTGACAGGAAAAGTCCACAGAGAGGCTGGTGAGCTCCAGCCCTGATTTAAGTTGTGCCACTTCAGCAACTCTGCAGCACAGTTCTTCTTTTCAGAATCTGGCCTTAATGTCCTATAAAGCGAGACATTTCACAGGCATAATCCTAGGAAAAAGGGGGGAAAAAGACTCCAAAGCCCCCGTGATACTCCTGTGTACAGGAAGATGGTGAGTTCTCATTCCTAACTTTTAAGATTATATAGATTTGTGCTACATGAATCTGAAGTTGTTGCTAATTGAGTTAGTGGCAAAACTAATTTTGGATGCATCTTAAAATAAGAGGAGAAAGAGCATTTACCTGGTGGCAGGGATTGCTATCATATGAAACACCCTGTTAAAAAAAAATAAACAAAAAGGTAAATGCCCAAATCTTCATTTTTCTTTCGAAGTAATTTGCTCTCTTAAAATTTCTTCTGTGAGAATTAATGTAACAAAACTCACCATGAAACTTTGCAGAGGGTGAGTTTAATTTTATTTAATCCTTTAAATGTGTGGCTTTACCTTCTGTCACTCCCATACCCACATACTCAGAAGGATCAAGGCACATGCATGCAGGTTATCAAAGGAGGAGTTCTTGTGAGCCACAAGGAAAGAAAGATAGGCTGGCAATGGATGTCTCTCTGTATCACCCTAGTTCCTCTTGGTTGGTAAAGATTAACTGTTGGTGGGGTTTTTTTGGAATCAACTGTTACTGATGGGTGACTATCTATCTCTGTTGTGACTGTTTATCTCAGTGTGACCACCTATCACTTGCTAGATTCACCCACTATAGATGTTAGGCAAGGCTGCTGCTCAGTGCATTTTATTTCCTGTTTTGGATATATTTTGGCTACAGCCAGTCTTCCTGTTGGGATAACAGGATGAGAAACAGTACACAGAAAGAGTTCTACCCTGGCTGTCGCACTCCCATTATCATAGCACAGATAAGCCAAGAGCTGTGTCACCTGTGACACAACTTAGGTCAAAGGAGCACATTTTTCAGTGTTTATCAGTTTGATTGTTGTTATCTGTGTCCATGTTGTATTGCTTCTTATGATGCTTTTCCATGCGTTTCCATTCGTGCTTAACTTAACCAGTCCTAATATTTCTGCTAAATACTTGTGAAAATGTCTGTATTTATACTTCTCTTTAATTCTTGTTGCTTTCCTCAATATATTTATTTAACCATAGGTTTACTACGTGACCTCATTCACTATCCGTTCACCTGGGATCTCATCACTGAAGACTTAGTCTTTACTGTTGTAGGCATACACAAGTTGAAATGGAACCAGGATGAAAACTACTAATTTAATTCCTGTTCCACAGGAGCCACTCTCTAATCCTATTTTTTTCTATAGAAAATAAATGGAGCAACATCCAAAAATTCCCAAGGAAATATTATATCTGTTTATTAAGTAGAGAGATTTCTGTCTTCAGTGTGTAACTCTAAATGGGAGAAGCATTTCATACCAGTTACAATGACAAACAATATCAGCCTTCCTCGATCTCTGTGCTAGATAAATCCATGTAACAATCAAAACAATTGATTGAAACTAACAAACATTATAGAACTTGTTGAAAAATGTGTCACTACTGGAAAGAAAGCTGGGTCTAGTTTTCAAATAGTTTGGAGAAAAAGGGACTTACTTGTCCACAACCACTGCTGCCACTTGAAGAAGATCCACCCTGCTTGTGAAAAAAAAAAAAAAAAGAGCAGCCTGTAATCCAAATATTCATTTTCATTCTTTTTCTCCATTTCAAATACAGAAACAAATTTTCAAGTGCTTTAGATGCTTGACTGCTTAAAAGGTTGGGCATCTACATCCCTCTACATCCAACTGTGAATTTTCTGGTAAAGTATTTGTGTATGTTAAGACTATAGTGCATCAGAAAGCTGACACCTACACGCACTCCTTTCTACATGGGAAACAGCTGTTTCAGTGTGCCTATAATTGACAGACTCATGAAAAAAATTCACAACTCTTATTTGTAATGACTGCTTACTATATTATTTTAAGAAACAAACCACAGAATTCTCAATACATATATGGGAACATCACATACATGCTGTATAATGACTGGTGACAGACTGAGACTTACCTGTCCATAGGAACTACCACCTTGAGGCTGGTAGCCCTGCAGGAAAGGCAAGAAGTAATTTGCAAACAGAGCTGTATACTCTTAGCAAAGATGCAACGGAATAATAGAATACCAGAGAGAAAAGCCCAGTTCCAGTAAAAGTTCCTCTGTGCTATGTTCTTTTTTCCTTCACGGTATTTCAGTGGTACAAACCAAAATCAAGGATGACTCAGCAACACCAAGAAGGAAAAAGACCCATCCACACCCCAAAGTCCATTTACAAGACAGGCTCCTACAGAAAAGCTTGGTGCATTTCAGCACAAAAGCCTCACCTGGCCATAGGACTGGCTGCCTTGGGAACCCTTTAAAAAAAGAGAAGGTATTTATCACCTGGACAAAGAGGCTTCTTTAAAGAGCATAACATTTTTGACAATACAGCTGCACGTGGGGTTCTCAAAAAGCATAAAGGAGATAGAACAGTAGGCTGGCAGCTGGGCTGCAGATTGCCCTACTGTCAGCAAAAGCCATGACTCAAATTGAGGTGCAGACTTCCAGGGGAAATATCAGTCTCCAAAATCTGCCAGTCTTTCTGGTCACAGAGATATCAGTGAAGAACTTCCTACAAAATATTTAGTTTGCTTACCTGGCCATAAGAACTGCTGCTGCCCGAGAAACTTGGCCCACCCTAAGACAAGGACATAATTTGGTTATTTCCCTTTTGCTAAGGATCTCAGCCTGCACTAGGAAAAGCAAGCAACTACTTCCTAAAGCTATGCAGGGCAGTATGAGGAGCAGGACATGCTCCTGGCTCTTACGAGGATGCTGAGTGCCGTGATTTCACACTGGGTTTTCAGATAAATAAGTAGCACATGGATAAATTTTGAGTGTGAGTATGCACACTTTCAGAGCAAATGCGCTTTAAAGATCAAATTCTGAGGGATTGCTAAGTGCTTTTGCTGTGCCATGGCACTCCATTTCTCAAAGGCTGCATTCTGACTGGTGACTGACTGATTCTTACCTGGCCATAGGAACTGCCACCTTGAGGTCTGTAGCCCTGTATGAAATGAATTATTGATTCATAATTACTGTATTTGTGAAGCAGATGCCCCTCTAGAGTTTGCCTCTTTGTGGGGTATAAAAAGCCGGAATAAGACAGAGAATGTACAGACTCTGCTGCTTAACTAGAGTTATTTTGATACTTCTTATTCAGGATGAAGAGCTGTATTTATTGGATGAGAACTGTAGAGTAGTTTTACATGTGTCTCAGATAGGACTTGAGTTTTATGAAGGTTTTCCAGGAAGGCATGCAACATTTTCTTATTACGTTTATTTTGCCTGCCATTTATTGGACACTGGGCTTAGATGGGTAATGGTAGGTGAATACTGATTTCCTATCTTTGTATTTTTCATGGGCCCCAGTTGCACAATTCCCTTCATCCAGGGAAAATAAAGATGAAAAATAATTTTTAAAAATTAAGGAAGAATCTTAAAAAAACACAGATTCATAAAATGTAAAAAACCCCAACGCAATTAAAATTAGCAGGTTAAGTGAATTTAGCCAAAAGATGACAGTACTTTTTGAAAAACTCTCAATAATATAAAGTTACTGTGGGTATAATTTGCTGATGCAATCTACCTTCAATATAATCTCATAAAAGAGCAGTTGTTTCATGTACATGTAGATATGTGCCACAGCTGTCTGGGACAGTCACAAAGATGGGGGATTACCAAAGAGAATTTGAAGGATCTTATTTATTTCTGCTATCTGACATAAGAAATCTTAAAAAAAAATCATCACTATTTCAGACCTGCTTTAATTTACATAAAAACTGTAAAGGGAGGTAAATATTCATCATTTACAGGCTCTGTGACCAAATCTTCATGCAGCTGAGAACCTGTCTCAGTGTTCTTTAGTTCCTCAGCACTGTTTCTCTGTACTGAGAGCAAAAGAGACACCAAAGAATTGACTATAAATTTGTCTTGTACCATGAAGGTCAACTAGAATGGTAATAGCATCAAATAGACTATTTCTACCATAAATTTTAAAGTTCCATACCCATGGAAAAGATAAGATAGCAGCAGAAACCTATGATTTCTGCAGATATCCATGAAAAACAAAACTGTCATTTTCACAACAAAAGTTTTGAAATAGATTCAGAGGGTTTTTTTTTTAATAACTCAATATAAATTGAAAACAATATTTTAAGATTGGCCAAATTTTGCAGGGCCATGGCACTCCACTTTCTCAAGTGTTATATTCTGACTGACACTTACCTGTCCATAGGAGCTGCCACCTTGAGGCTGGTAGCCCTGCAGGAAAGGCAAGAAGTCATTTACAAACAGAGCTACGTAGTCTCTTAGCAAAGATGCAACAAAATCATAGAATACCAGAGAGAAAAGCCCAGTTCCAGTAAAAGTTCCTCTGT